CTTAAACTTGAAACGTCCCATAGGGTGCTATGGGGTGTTCGATCTAAGGACAAGCCATGTGAACTGGGAAAGTTGGGCTGGAAGAAACCTCGACCCCAAACGAATATAGGGGACCAAATAACTACTACCAAAACTATGGTATAATTGGTTCCAAAACCCTATTCTAAGTATTAAGGCCCCTAAATGAGGTGTGAACTTTGAGTTAAAGGAAGCGAGCCCTTCACTCAAGAACGATCAAGCCTTTGCAAGAAAGGCATTGCCTATACTATTCTGTTTGGGGTGGGTTCCTCATCATAATTATAGTATAGTGGGCCGCAAAACCCTGTTCTAAGTACAGAAGCCTCTATATATGCTTCAAAGGTCAGTGCTGGACTGGCTGTTCAAGAGGCTTTTTCTTGGCGTGGGAGCCGTCTCCGCTATTTCGAGACATGTTGCCCGCATGCGGTGCACGATGTCGGCCGACGATGTCCTTTCGAGCCTCAGCCCACACACTTTAGGACCTAGAGTAGGCCCTTATTCCTGTTTTCAGGGTTCTGGTGCCCTTATAAACCCCTTTAAACCAACACGGGCACCCCTTTTGTTCCTAGGTTACTCTTACGTCTAGCTTGGGAATGGCGAACCAACATAGCTTTTTGAGTAGTCAGCAACAGTGTTCCTTATGACAGTCCCTCTTTAATTTAGTATGACTCTTTATATCAAATCCTTTTAAAGCAATGTGATTGCAGGGTTCACGATTGTGTAGGACCTGAGGTTAAGGGAGTTCAGGGTTTAGGGTTTACTACGCTTGTGGGGTGTGGGGCTTTAGGGGCTTATGGGGCCTGTGGCATCTAGCAACTGAGGTGCAACCTTGTTTGTCAACGGAATGGGGGAAGTACACTGGCAAAGAGCAGCATGGTTCAGTGGACTCGAGCTTCAAACCGTAGGACCCAAAAGCCCTGGAAGATGTGTGTGTGTGTGTGTGTGTTGAAGGCAACGGCCATATGTGGGCAAAGGCATGCGCCTGGTAGAGTGGAGCTCGTCTCTGATCACTTGAATACGAGCGCTTTATTGGGCTTCAACGCTTTGTATGCTATTGAACGCCGTGTTACCTTTTTAGGGTTTGATAAGCGCTTCAAGGATGTATAGTTGGGTTATGTGTATGTGTATATATATATATATATATGAGTTTGAATACACTCCGTATGGTCCTGATATATATATATATATATATATATATATATATGTATGCATATATGTAGTTCTTCATTCATTTTATATGTGTATGTGTGTGTATATATGTATATATACATATATATATATATATGCTTGTGTTACAGTATACCACGAAAACCCTTTTGTGCTTGTTGAGGCCACTACATTAGGTTTAGAGTAGATCGATAGGTAGACCAGGCAACTCAGCCAATTGGGGGCCTTGGAGTGCGCCTAGACCCTCAGGGCTTTCGGGTTTCCTAACCTACTTCCCCCAGTCCTAATGCCTGAAACATTCTCCATCCAGTAAAAGGGGAGCCTTGTGCGTAAACAAGCTTGCTGGTAGGTTCAGCAGGACATTACACCCGCACGACCATCGGGCTTTACGACCTTACGAAATAATTCCAGATTCAGGATTTGGGGTTTGGAGTTGAGGCCTTTGTTTGTCCGAAGATATTGGTGCTGTGCATTTGCTGCTACGTAGCCCATGCCGCAAACTTTGCAGGCATGCCTTAATCTTTCTCGAGTTTAGGTTTAAGGGCTTATCCCTCCACAGTAGTGTACTTTAGTCAATGGGGACCCTAAGCCCGAAACCCTAAATTGTAATTGTGGTCGGGGATAAGCGGGTTTCAGGGTTCAGAGTATGGTGTTGTCAAGTTAGTGATTCCGAGTATAATAATTAGAATATGGTTTTGGGGCCAATTATACTATAACAAAAATAAGGAACCCCCCAAAGAGTATAGATTTCGACTCTACACCAGGCGTAGTCACGGTGATCTTTACGAGGTGCCCTCCCACTCGCAGCCTTGGCCGGCGGCTATGTTTGATTTTAACCCGAGTGTTTGAAGAAGCGGCGCATGAGGGCAGTTTTCGAAAAAAACGGAGGATGCAATTTTAGAAGCCTAGATAATTACCAATATAAAGGAGCCCAAACCCAAATTCTAATTAATTATTAAGGCCTCCTTATTAGGAAGCGTACAGTTTAGGATGATCGTTCTCGAACATATGGGGTACGCCGGGCTACGGCCATGGGCTTACGATTCCATACGAGGTCTTCCATGATTCGAAGCGCGTCGTGGCAGGGTGCATGGCGGAAAATATCGGTTTCGAAGTGAACATATAGTTGCCTCTTGAGAATATTTTGTTGTAGGTACCCTAAACCCTAAGCCCTGGTACATTGAAGTATTCTCTGGTTTTGAAAATTGCCCTACGAGTTATTTTCATCGCATGAAGCGGCACAGTGATGCCTCCTGAAGGTGTCACATCGGCCGTGGGGCCTCAAGCACACTGTAGGGGCTTAGGGTTGAGGGGTTCAGTAGTTGGGTTAAAGAGTTTGGGTTCAGTCCTGTCTTCGAGTAGTTCTCTAGATCTACGAGCGAAGATGTTGTCAAAAATCGACGGTTTGGCGGTTTTGGGCTGCATTGGTGCTTGCTGCATGAGGCAGGTTTTCAGGATGCAGGATTTTTTGGGCAAAATGAATCCGACCCTCACGTTCCAAGGCGCGCAGGATTTTCACCACGAGGCAAAGTGGAGGTTTGAATGCAGTAGTCGCTGCAGAAGCTTGGCTCGTGTGCGCCGGCTGCCCTGACGGTAGTCGGACCCGAGCCTGCTCACGCAGTCCCTGCTCCTGAAACATGTTTGAAAGATTTTGATGCATCTCGATCGCATGGACCTCGACATCTCGGCACCGACAGCGTAGCAGCAGTGAGTCGTGAGTAGCTTTCAACTTTTATCGGGAGGGAACCCGAAACTTGACAAGGAGAGGGAAAGGGCTGCTTCGTCGTCGGGGCAAGGAGAAAATTTAAATATATGCACAATGTGAATCCTGGCCGAGCCAGCGGTGCGTGCGTGACTCCGTTGCACGCGATAAGTGGTGGCTCTTCTTCTTAGTTCAGCATTGCGCTCAATTACGGTTGTGCATCCGCAGTGGTTTGAGCCAATTGAAAGGCCGTGGAAAAAGTCCACGGCTCCCTTCTCGACCTCTTGTTTCAAGTGAATCATTCTTCACGAGATTGGCTCCGAGCACGCCTTTGCTCTGCAGGAACCCTAAACCCTAAAGCCTAACCATAGCGAACATGGCAATAGCTTTCCGGAGTCGTGCCTTGTCGTTTGTGTCGAAGGCGACTGGGAAGCAGGTTTTGCCGTTCACGATTTGACGTTTCAGGTTTGGAGTTTTTAAGATTTACGGACCCTCGAACTGTGGTCCCTTCTTAAAAGCACCCCAGGCAGACAGGATACCCGGTGAAGACACATCTTTGGAGCTCAGGCACATGCACCGAGCCCATCGAACAGCCCCCAAATTGCTAGGGCATTGTGGCACACTTCTTTGCACTTGTTGCCTGGCAGTCCGTCCTCTTCACTGCTAGCATGCCTGTCGGCTGCCCTGTTGCTTTTCCATCAGGGCAGTCTCCTTTAACAGATGTTCTACAGTTTCAGACATCAGGATGTTGCTGTTTGGTGAAAAGTCGAGATTTCTAAATGGCACTATGCAGTGTCAAGCTCTGCCGCGTGCGGTCAACTTTTTTGTCACACATGCCTCCCCACACCAGATATACGCATACAATTACATGGACTAACCAGCACCAGCGTTCTGACTATCTTATTTCTTCAATCAAGATGTTGCGAACTAGGCTTGGTACTAGGGCTTGGTATGCCTGTTGTATAAAACAAACGGTTCCCTGCAAAGTAGCGCCGAAGGAAACTCTAGACCCTAAATTCCGAACTGCGCCCGGCAGCAAACCCTTAACCTTATGTAAACGGTTCACTTGTCGTGCAAGTATAGGGTTTAGGGTTTAGGGGTTTAGGATTTAGGGTTGGTGGTAGGATAATTACTAGGGCAACATTGTCTGGAAAACCTTCCCAAACACTTAGCCCCTGAATCCTTAAAAGGCACCCAGTTTCATACGCTTAAAGCCCGCGAAGGAACTTTTTTAAATAAACACTAACATGCTCAACACCCTTTTACAACGGCACGGAGGGCAGAAGGACTGGCAAAGCCACGTCTCCGACTCAAGTGGGTCAGACTCAAGAACAGGTGAAGGCGACTTAGGAAAAGCACCGAGCATCGACGCAGTCGGCACAGACATGAATTACAACACCTGTAGCACCCAGAGAGCCCAATACCAATACCCCTTAATTAAGGAATATGGCTCAAATCATAAACATGAATCCCCTCATAATTGAAGGTATATTCCTTGATTACGGGGTAATTGGGCTCTCTGGGTACGCCAGGAAGCCAAGCTTCGAAACCACCCTTACACCGACCTGGATCCCACGAAACCCTCCCGGACCTACCGAATTCCTAGACACTCGACCCTCCATCTACCCCCTAAACCCTAAACCCTAAACCCTAAACCCTAAACCCTAAACCCTAAACCCTAACCCTCCATCTACCCTCTATTAGGCCCGAAAGGCCCCTTATTTGGGACCATATACCCCTATTTGAGGGTAGAAGGAGGGTCCTGGTTAATGACGTACATAAGCCCAGAGAGCCCAATACCCCTTAATTAAGGAATACACCTTAAATTAGAAGGGCATTAATATGATGATTTAAGCTATATTCCTTAATTAAGAGGTATTGGGCTCTCTGGGAGGAACTCAGCCCACAGCTTCGCCAAAAGCTCCAAAGGCCCTTCACCAACATCTCCAATCCGCAAGCTCTGCGATGATTTTTTTGGGGGGTCTGTAGGGGTACTATGAAAATATATAGGAACCTGATTAAGAAACCCTGGGCCTTCATTACGGTTCTATAAGGGTTCCTTTAAGGGGTTCTTTCTAAGGGTATCAAGGTTTCGAAGCCCGACACTGCAAAGGCCCGAACAGCGCCTCCAAAGCAAGCTTGCACACAAGCTGGCGGAGCTCCCAGATTCTGATGGGCTGTAGACTCAACTTTTCAACTTTTGGGGTTCTTATAAGGTAGTCGATTCTGAAGGTTTCAACTTTGATGTCCTTGGGTTTTGGGCCAGTGAGGATTTGTAGGGGGCTATACCAGCAACGGTTCTTTGAAAGGCTTGTTCCAAAGAGGCACTACCCGTGCATGTAAACAGGTGAGGATTAGTCCCAAATGCCGGTCTCAGAGGTCAGGGCGAATGTATACTTTAGAAGCTGCCCCCACCCTGTAATAGTGGTATAATAGGAATATAATAGGGCCCTAACAGAATCCTATATAATCCTTATGGTTACTATTACAGGGTGGGGGCAGCTTCCAATGTATACTAGAGGTTTACGGTTTAGGGTTGCGCGCCAAATTGAAATCCTTGTTCCAGTCATTGCCCCCTAGATTGAACCCTTGCGGTGGTTCTTGTAGAACGGCTAGAGGACCCCTATGGTGTTTCCAAAGGCCCCCATGTTGTAAAACCCTTCAAACCCCAAGCCCAGGCACAATCACAAGGTCACACATTCTCATCTTGCTCCGGACACATGTAATGTACTCGTGCGGCTCACTCGGGTTTCATTTGTTGTCAAGAAGACTGGGTTTAAGGTTTATACGGGCTTAGGATGTAACCATTAACTTGTGGGCTGCAAACTCAACTTTTCAACTTTTGGGGTTCTTACAAGGTAGTCGGTTCTGAAAGTTTCAACTTTGATTTCCTTGGGTTTTGGGCCAGTGAGTATAGATCCCTTATAGGAATCCTTAAAGGACCCTTTTAAAGGAACCCCATTCTAATTACTAAGGCCCCTTATTAAAGGGTTAGGGTTGTGGCGCCGTGGGGGTTCCAGGTCGCGGGCGTCAGGGCGTGATGCGAGGTTTCCAAAAAATTAGGGGGTACCTTGTTTGGGGGGTCTGTATAATAAGGATCTTACTATTAAGGTACTATATAAGGATCCCCAATTTTCGGAAACTCCCATATAACCCTTACACCCTAAACCCTAAACTCTATGTAGTACCGTTCTGTAACCCTTTAAAGGAACCCTAAGGGTCCCGATTTTCGGAAACTCCACCCAGGTAGAGTCCTCTCAAGGAACCATTATAGTACCCTTCTAGTAGCCCGTTAACGGAGCCCTTACAGTACCGTTCTAGTAACCCTTTAAAGGAACCCTAACGGAAACTCCACCCAGGTAGAGTCCTTTAAAGGCACCCTTTTTAGTAGCCCTTTATAGAAACCCTAGGGTCCCCTGTTTTCGGAAACTTCCATGTGGGGATCCTAAACCTTAAACCCTATAGATAATATAGATTCTTTAAAGGGATCCTTAAGGGTTGATTTAAGGGATCTATAAGGGATCTATACTATAGATCCCTTATAGATCCCTTAATATCAACCCTTAAGGATCCCTTTAAAGGCCCCTATAGTCTTAGTAGTGGTAGCTGAGTATCAGAACTTGCGCTGTGAAGCTCGGGCCCTGGGCCTAAAGTGACAAATCCCCGAGTCGCAAAATTCTGTACGATAGGGGCCTTAATAATTAGCCTTTAAAGGGATCCTTAGGGGCTCCTTTAAGCAATCTGTAGGGGATCTATAGGGTTTAGGATCGCGGCCTCAATAACTGCCTATACTATTGTTTTGCGGGGTCCTTCACGATAGGGGCCTTAACTTGAAACGCTGCGCGTCGTCCGCCTCGGCCCGGCTGTACGCGCATGCGGCGAGTGGGGGGTAAGGCCCCTATATAACCCTCCAGGGCTGAACGTCCGGGTTTGCGGGGTTTCGGGTCCAAACCCTAAACTCTGACCCCAAGCTATCCGAGCTCTGATTCTCCAGGTTCTCCCCGAAGTTCGACATGGCAGGCTCGGCGCTCTGAGGGGTTTAGGATTTAGTTCGGGTTTGCTACTCGCTTCTGAGGATTTTTGGGTCAAGTTTCTGAAGTGCCGAGATTCGTTTAGGGGACTTTGTGGTGTAGAGTCTGCTGGAGCTGAGTTGCATTGTCACATGTTCATAAGGACCCTTAGGGGGGAGGGGGGATGATGGCTGCAGGCCGTAATACCTAGAGTATAAGGACCTAAATATGGCCCATTTAAGAAAGTATAGTCGCCTCCCCCCCTCACCCCTACCCCGTAAGGGTCCCTACGACATGTCTTTTCCATTTCATCATCATGATCATTGTTACCAACCATGTTGCTACGGTGAACTCAACCGGTGGTGCATGATGGTTGCTGCTGGGTCGTGTAGCGAGTCACTTCCTACACGGAGTCTCGGGTTTTGCAGTATGACGGTTCTGGGCGATGTTTGTGGGAGCACGTGTTGGATGCGTGGAGCGCTGGTGTTCTCCTGGAGTAGAAAGGTTTCTAGGAACAAGAACGATGCAAGCATCAATAACCAGAGCGACGACAACTGCACCAAGCACCGCTGCTACTACCACTATTGCTCGTACCACCACCGAACGACAGCATGCTGTATTCAGCATACTGATAAAAGCAATCGCGACGACGTGATCCGAAACCAGAGGGTTCGACAGGCTCCCGGTTCCGTCGATGCGTGAGACTAGGGGCAGTTGCTGTTGCTGCGACGCTTCATGATCCAAGGCCGTACCGCCCTTGAGTTTATGTTCAGAGCCTCAGAGATTTTCAGGACTGCTGAATACATCATCCCTAAGATCATCCCCAAGACCTAAAAGTTAACAGCCCTAAACCCTAAACCTCGAATCCCCAAAAGCCGAGAAAAGCGAGAAGCTGGGAGGTGCGCACGGTCTACAGCTGGAACTGCAGCTCTTCAGGCCTATAGCGTTTGTGTTTAGGGCCCTGGTCAGGTGTCGGGCCTTTTGTTCCTTCACACCCAATAAGGTTCAGGATTTAGGGTTAGATACCGTTAGATGCCTTGTACATGGTGGACCCTGTTGCCGATTTTGCTCCAAACTTGGCAATCCACAGATAACCTTTTGTGCACGATGTCTGCAGCTCTTGGACCATCTCTTCGCAGCCAACTTCAAGCGATTGCACAAATATCCGGTTACGGCGGTCACAGGGGCACAAATTTCCACATACGTCCCAACCTGCCATGATCTAACCAGCCACCCCAAGCTCAACTTCCCAAATGAAGCCGGGCACATGTGAATCAGTATCTGCACTTGCTCGTTCAGACGTCTTCGGTGGCAGCAACAAGTGAACAGCTGCGCTGGTTGGAATTACTTGTCCTTGCCATTCGGCAGAGAAATGCATCGAAACATGGACAAGTCTTCTACGAACAAATCCTAAGCTCCAAACCCTAAACTCACGCTTCATGCCCCTGTCAAGAGCAACATGTCTGGCTTCGCCGGCTATGGCAAGATTTCTTTGGGCAGCTGCCGTGCCTATGATGTTCTTGCAAGTAACTTCAGGGTTTAGGGCTTAGGGTTTAGGGGACTTGTTAGGGCTTAGATATTAAAAGTCACAACCTCAGGGGGTCTTTATCTGTTCGGGTGTGGGTGACCCTAAACCCTAAAACCGTTGTTAGTTGTACGAAAGGTGTTGATGAGCAACCCAGGTGCCAGCGATGTCGGGGGTGACTGGTGTGTCACGGAAAAGATCCATGGAGCAAACTTCTCTATCCACGTAGAGAGGTCCCGGGCCTGCGGTTCAGGATTCAAGGGTCTGGTAGTTAAAATACCCTAAATAAACGGTTTAGGCTAAAGCCTAAGCCTATAGGCTACGTTACTCCGGTCTATGTTGTTGAAAGTGTGGAAGATCTGTTGCTTGTGGACTGGTCCGTTCGTGCGGCGGTACAGGGTGGCGACACGGTTCGACGGTAGCTCTTTAATGTTGTATCGTTCCCTCCGAGGGGTTTAGGGGGGACACAAGAAAGATCAGAATTTTTAGGGTTAAGGGGGTTTGTTGATAAGCCTGAGACCTTAAACAATGAACTTCTGGAGCCTCTCTGTGGCTCAAAAGGTCTGGAGCACTGCGCTGTGCGAAGAGAACTGCATTCCTCAAGGAGCACGAGGATTTCTTCGGACATTACAGCATGCTGCTCTTTGGCTATACAGGGTTCCTTGCAGTGTTTTGACACTATCGAGCCCCCTAGGTGCCACTGCGCATGTATGCGTAAGTGTTGAAACACTGACGACCATGCATTCCGAGCGCCGCGGTTCGAACTAATTATTTCCAATTTCTACACCGATAAGTATGATTGCACAATTGGCAAGTTTCAAAACATGAAAACCGTATAGTTCACGGTGGACGTCTGAACACAACATGTCTTATGTAGTCAGTAGGTGCCATTTTATTGTTAGTGAAGGACACGTAGTTGTCGAGCTGCGACAAGCGCTGTCAGCGTTTCACAGTGCGGGTTGTTTGGGTGTGTTGTTCGGGGTTTCAGGTCTCTTGCTGATCCAGATGTTTTGTTTACCATGACTGGTTCAGTGTTGTTGGCAATCATTTAAACAAGAAAAAGAGTTCAGTCGAGTGTCATATATATATATATAGATAGATAGATAGATGGATAGATGTTATAATCGATGTTCATCTTATACGAATGGATTCCCTAAACATTGATTTCGATGTCAATCTTCATGGTTTTTTTTTGCTGGCAGCTTCGTTCCTCAACAGGAGCCGATACAGAGCCCAGTTCCTGAGCCTTGCGAGAGAGGTGTTCGAGACTATTGAAACTTCCTCTGTCGCGCTGTTTGGAGAGCTCTGTGGTGGAAGGTATCCACACGAAGAAGCGCCGGAAGAGCCCCACACGCGGCCAGTGCAAACTGGTGTGTGGTACAACCCCGGGGTTGAGTTTGTCTTGTTTGACATCGGGCTTGCTGGGACGAGCGGCCGGTGCTTCATGGCCTTCAAGACTGCAGCATGTCCCGTGATTTCAGGATGAAGAGAAAGCGGTATGTATGTGCGTACTTGTGATCTGTTTGACCACCGGCAAGACAACATACTCAAGTCCTGAACAGCACAGCCTGGTTTTGTAAATGCGTGTCGGTGGCGAAAGCGGCTAATGTTGGATTTTGTACAAAGTGGGAAGGTGTGAAACTAAAATGTGACGTATGCGGGGATGCGTGACATGGTTGTCCACGCTTTGTTGTGTCACTACACGTCTGTACTCATGATTGCTGTCGCCAGCACTGCGTTTTTCTGTGTCTATATTACTATGCTTTCACGTGTCTTTCGTTTGTGGAGCCACCCAAACCATGCCCCGTTGGAGATCCTTGCAACCCTACACCCTGCACCCGATTAAGGGTAAGACTTGCACGAATTTCAACAGCAAGCATCCCTTAACCTCAGCTCTCAAGGTAGTGGAGCTGGCTGCCAAGCACAAGCTTCCAAGCGTGCCGGTGCTTCTCGTCGGCCCTCGTGGGGACTGCACCAACTTCAATCCGAGATTTGAATCCAAAGTCTTCGCCGCCTTCGGCTTGCCAGCAACTCTTCTGATTTTAGGCTTCCGGGCTTAGGGATCTTAAAGGGATCTATAGGATGTAGTATGACGGGTTTGGGGTTTAGGAGTTTAGGGATTGTGCTTTGAGCGCTCAGAGTTGGCTCTTCGGAGTTTTCGTGGGTACATACTCTCTGTCCCTACATGCACACATGTGGGTGCTTGTCAAAATTATGGTTTCTTTTTGGGTCCCGATTATAGTACGGCACCTAATTTTGACAACCACCCATGTGTATATATATATATATATAGAGGTATACGGTATACATATATGGTGGCAGCCGCAAAGTTGGAAGATGCGCACCCAAAATTTCAGCACCCCACAATTGGAACAAAACACATCTTCCAACTTTGGATTCTTCCAAGTTTGCAACCGCTCCAAATGCCGGGACCTAAAGTTGGAAGATGGGACCAAGCAGACCCAACATTGAATTGCTGTTTCTCCGTCTCTCTCTCTCTCTCTCTCTCTCTCTCTCCAATACTGCAGTAATTGAAGTTTTTCTCCCTCTGCAATACTGGAGCGGCCATGGTGTTTGCAGCTTCTCTCTTTCTGCAATATTGGAGCGGTCGTAGGAAGAGCGGTCCTAGGAATTGCAGTTCTCTCTCTCTCGGCAATATTGGAGTGGTCGTGGTATTTGCAATTTTTCTCTCTGTGCAATACTGGAGCGCTCGTAGTATTTGCAGCTTTTCTCTCTCTGCAATACTGCAGTGGTCGTAATACTTGCAGTTTCTCTCTCTCTCTCTCTGCAATACTGGAGCGGTCGTAGTAATTGCAGGTTCTCTCTTTCTGCAATACTGGAGCGGTCGTGGTACTTGCAGTTTTTCTTCTTTCTTTCTGCAATATTGGAGTGGTCGTAGTAATTGCCGTTTCCCTCTCTCAGCACTACTGGAGCGGTCGAAGCAGTTGCGGTTTCTCTCTCTGCATTACTGGAGCTGCTTCCCAAAAACCGAAAGTTGGAAGATACCGTTATCGCATCAACCGGTCCAAACGCCGGGACCTAAAGTTGGAAGGTGGGACCAAGTCAAACCCAAAGTTGGAAGATGCCGTTGCCGCATCAACCGTTCCAATTGCCGCCTTCCAACTTTCCGGCGGCTACTGTAGGATGAAAGATAATGGTACATACATGTGTTTCAACATATAAAAATACAAGTTGAAATACTTACATAGACAGATAAATAACTACATACATATAGATGTCAACATATTCATGTACATAGTGTATGTAGATATAGAGATATGAACTGAATTGTTTTATTTACCTAACTGTTTCCTTAATGATTCGTGTTAATTAGTTGATTCCTTACCCTTCTGTGCTTAAGCCACGAAACCCTTAAGCCTAATCCTTGAGAAAAGCCTCCCCTCGTCATCAGGAGGTTGTGCTTGAGTTTTCTGCCTGGTCCAGGGTTTAGGGCCCGGTCTAGGGTTTCTGGTTCTTCATGGAATGAACATCTCGAGAAACTCCAATCATCAAGCCCTTCGGGACCCTGGCTTCGCTTCGCAATCGTTCCCTAACCCGAGACCCCCAAAGTCCACACCCTAAACTATAGCACGGTGGTCTTTAGGACGACTTCTTTTGTGTTCATACAAACCCCATCGAATATTAAGAATAGTGTTTTACTTATGCTTCTAATACTAATATGACCGAAACCCAAAACCCAAAGCGCTAAGGCCCTAAACCCCTGAACCCTAAATCCCAATAAAACCCCAAACCGAGGCCATCTCTGGTAACTTTGCCGAGGGCGTCGTCGTAAAGCCCTGGGATCGGGAGACTGCGGCCGAGGCTGATGGTTTCTTCAATAACAGTATGGGAGTTTCCGAAAATTAGGGTTACCTTATTTAGGGGTCCTTGTAATAAGGGTCCTACTATTTAGGGTACTATATGAGGGTGCCCTGTTTTCGGAAACCCCCGTATACATGATATACGAATACCACTACTTTTCGTGGTATTTCATATTACTGGTCCTAACTCTAGTAATGTCAATAATAGTGATAGTTTTATCAGTACTGGTAATACTAATAATACCAATGATCGTAGTAGTGGTACTGTTATTATAATAATATCATCGAGAGCAATAGGCATGCGAATAGTACCAACAAGTCAAACAGCAATGTCAATGCTAATGACATGTAATACAGGGGCCTAAACAATTACCAATACTGCTCTGGTGGTTCCTTAGTATACCTATAGCAGAATATACCCCTGAATCCTGTTCCTAGTTATCAAGGCCCCTAGATTCATGTTTTCGACTTCGTGGTTTGGAAGGTCTGTTCTTTTCCATGTCAGCGTTGAAGGTCAGGGGTGCAGAGTTTCGGCTTTGAGGTGTGGGGTTTGGGGTGCAGGCCTAGGCTTTTCTTACCTTTGGTTAGGGAATTATTATAACATTCTTCCATTCCCTACTAACCAAAGGTAAGTTTTAGGCTTGGGTTTGCGGCGCAATGTTTAGGCTTTGTGTGTTTCCTGATTCGAGGTGCAGGGTTGAGAATGGATGTGCGATTTGGGATGTGGGGTTTCGACCTCATTTATTTGGGGGTGTAGGGTTTCAAGCTTTGACCGTTTGCGTGGGATTTATGACTCAGAGACGTAGAGCCGAGGGTTTGGGGAAAGTTTAGGGTTTAGAGCTTGGGGAAAAGATCTAAGTCTGCGGACGGGATGCAATGAGCCTAACCTTGGACCCTACGCCGTAAAAATGTACGCGAGCCGACATGATGCACTTCCGCTAGAAGTCAGAATACTGAGGAAGAGCATCCCATGAACAAAAGCATACTCCGAAATCCCATTTGTTGACCACTCAGGCCCCTGTATTGGAACCCGCGTAGTAAACCTTATAGAACCTCAAAGGATCCTTTATGGAAAAGATCTAAAGAGCCCTTAAAGGAACCCTGATAGCCTCTTCCTCAACGCAGACTGGAGTTGGTCCTTCTTCGGATATCTCGCTGAAAGCTGTCATGTAGCTGACCTTGCACGAAATCCCTAAACCCTAAACCGACTTAGGGTTTAGAGATGGAGATCCGATACCCCCTTCTCGGGCTGGCACAGTTCGCACATGTGGCAGTGTGTAGCGTAGGTTTGTAAGCTACTTGTAGCACATATTTCTGGACTCGAGTCGTGGGATTCTCCAATCTGGCTCCCTTATCTGAGGTTCATTTTATGATGGACACTTCGACTTTAAGGGTTCGTATCGTCGTCCACAAAAGTCCCAACAGCATCTAGGCTTATGCATCGTCAAGCCAACCAGTTAAAAGTTTGTAAAGCTACCCGGGGTCAATTTGTGATTGACGTGCCCGGAAGGACAGTCATATCGTCGTCCACAAAAGTCCCAACAGCATCTAGGCTTATGCATCGTCAAGCCAACCAGTAAGCAGTTTGTACAGCTACCCGGGGTCAATTTGTGATTGACGTGCCCGGAAGGACAGACCCATACTCAAGGTCAAGACTCAGGACAGCAAGGATGTGTCACATGTTTGTTTTAGTGCACCATCTTTCTGAGGGATAAGTCTTTCCGGGTTCATCTTTCATTCAGTTGAGACTTCTTCCAGTCTTGTTGTCACACTACTAAATTCGTCGCCCGAAGTTCGGGCGATTTTCAGGACTACAACGATAAATTGAATGACGTCTGGCTTCACAAAACAGCCATATTACAGACCCTAAGCAATCGGACCCGTAATATGAAGAACCCAATTAACAAAGGACGCTTAACCTTAAGAAATCCGACATCACTGTTGCAGAGAAAGAAATCTGTTCCATGTCAGGTTTCGGATTTCGGAGTAATAAGAGATGGGGAGGTTTGCAATGGCCTGTGTTCTTTGACCCAAAACCTTGAGCCCTGTAAACCCTTGTAAACCCAAGAACTGTAACACTGTACTGAGAATTATCCCTGACTCTAACTGGTCTCGAAACTGGACGGCAGGTCACTACCCCATACTGGAGTGCATGATCATCTACACGATGTAAGCATGCAACAATTGGTGTGCATGCAAGACACGAGCAAGGGCGGCCGCGGGTCTACAAATGTCCTCTTCCGACAAGTGACGGCTTTTTGACTGGGTGGAATTCTAGTTTGGATCCCTACTGTCCGAGTCTGCATCGCGTGTTGGGACACTCCCATAGTGGTGCCAGATCCACGTCATCATAGCAAGAAGGTCACAGCATCTTAAATATGCAGACGGCATGCCTGACATCCCGCCTCCATGCCCCCAAGCAAATTGCCCAAGCCCTCAACACAAAGCCTCGACAGGCCATACCTCTTATTAAACCTTAACCCGGGACTGCTGGACCTTAATGCCCAAGTCGCAGCCTGAACCCGAAGCCCTAAGCAGGAATTCTGCGAGGGCGATGGCTGTCCGCCGGCTGCCGGGGATCCTGCCATGCGTGACTACCTCTTGGCACAGGCCCGAACCTGTGTACTATAGGGGCTTAAATAATTACCTAGATTCTTTTTTTGGGGTTCCTTATTCTAAGTATATATAGTAATATATAGCATAATATGGCACAAAAAACATATTCTAGTCATTAAGGCTCCTCCTATATCATGGCTTCAGGGGTTGGGGTGACTAGAAAGACTCATGTTTAGGGCAGCTTGAGGCTGTTTCAGCGTTTTGGTTTGCGTTGAAGGGGTTTAGAGTTTAGGAGTTTGGGCTCCTTAGGGTTTTAGGGTTTAGCGTTCAGGGGCTGTCTGCATCGGAGAACACTGTAAGGTACAAGTAGAACTTCGTAGACTTTAACATGGCAGTTTCCGAGAATTAGGGGTGCCTTATTTTGGGGTCTCTACTATTTAGGGTACTATATCAGGGTCCCCTATTTTCGGAAACCCCCGCATAGAACTTCGTCACAGAAGTTGGCTAGACAGACAGAGCTGTTTTTTGGCCACTGTAAATGCCAGACAACCCAGCCGGAAAGCCTGCAACCTCAGACTCCAACTCATATGTCGCGTCATCATTGCTGGCTGGGCATCTCATTCAGCTCGTGCTTTCGTGGGTTTGGGTTTTAAGGGTTCGGGCCCACCAAAGTCAAAGCTGCAAGATCAAACTCTCAGCCCTAATGCAATCCCCAGCAGAGTAAGCCCAGATAGCAACCCGAGCCGCCGACCCCAAGATACGAAGATTTCGGAAACTCCTGCTACGCCTTTGAGAATCAGAAAGCCGTGGGCTTCGGATAGTGGAGGATCCGCCTGTTGGGGCTTTGGGGTGTAGGAGTTGGGTACGGCCCCCCACCCAGTAACAGTTGGATAATATCCATAATATAGATATATAAGGCGTTTAATAGTAGCCCCATTATAGACTGGTACTGTAGTGGGGCCGTACCCAATGTAGGAGTGGTGTTTTTGGGGTTTCAGGTGAAAGAGTCGGAGGTTCGGGGTCTCACGAGTTTGGGGCGAAGGAGTCTGGTGCTTCGGGGGCGTGATATACGGGCTTTCATTAGATACGAATACTACCTCGGTGGGTTCCTTGTTATACAAGAAGCCCAAAGCCCTATTCTTGTTTATAAGGACCCTGTATTGGCGGGTTAAACCCCTTAAAGCCAAATCCCTAAACCCCCAAAACCCAAACGCTAAGCTCGAAAGTCCCAGGGTTTAGGCCGTTGCTCGTCCGATCTGTCGGGGACGAAAACAGGTCAACGACAATCGGCTCGATTCTGCTGCGAGCAAGGCGGGCCGTGCTGGACAAGAATAGTGGTCTGCCATATTAGGGCCCCCGAATTTCGGAAACTCCCATGTTCACCTAGGCTAGTCTGGGGGCTCCTTATTATCATTTTCGTATAATACGCCCGAAAACCCTATTCTAGTGATTAAGGCTCCTGCAGGTAGGCAGCTTGGAGTTGGCAGACAACTGGGAGGCGCCACTCAGCAGCACATTTCTTCTGAGCCTCAATCGCTTTGACTGCGTGCAGACTGCGGATTGCGGGTTTAAGTTTGACGGTCTGGGGTTAAGATTTGCAGTACACTCTGTTGATGCGGACCCCTGATTGATAGCCTTCGCGGCATCTCTATGTTGCGAAAGCAGGGTTTATTCGAAGGGTTTTGGCAAGCACATGTTTGCTCCCTGGGGCATTGCTAAGTGTGCTTGTCGTTTTTTTGTGGGGATGCGAGTAAGAATCAACATCCTACTGGACGTGAGGTTTTCTTAAGGGGTACCTTGCGGGTCAGGCATTCCAGATCCCGATTTAAGGTTTGCGGTTTAGGAGTTTGTCGTCCCCAAGGATCGTCGACCTCATCCTGGAAGACATCGTCCAAGATGTAGGCCGCATTCCGAGATTGCGCAAGGTAATATGCATTTCGAAAAGCAACCAAAATTATTCCCAAGGGTTCCCAAATATACTTATACCGAACTCATACACTCTGACACCATAAAGTACCACAACATTCTGGTCTAGTTCGATTATCTGTAAAGCCCATCTGTTGGGTTTATATCATGGATTTGGCGGGTGTATAGAGGGCTCATGTTGAAACTTGGTGAGTGTAGACCTTGGGTTTCTTCTGGGGGTACAAATCAATTTTTTTCCATGTACATATGCGCACTTACAGTAAGGTAGAGAGAGAGGGAGGGAACAAGCATGCGTGAATAGGTACAGGTGTATAAAGCTACATATGTATATATGTATGCAAACATATGTGTACCTGTACGATGTCGTACTTGTAGCAGTTGCAGTGGTAGTCGCTTTGCCTGTAGCCGCGAGGGACAGCGGCAATAGCAAAAGCAGTGTTTACTCAGACTTCGCGTGTATCAAAGGGGAAAAGGAGGGACCCTTAACGGGGACCCCTACCCTATATTGGGCTATATAAACGGGTATAAAATAGCTATATTAAGGGTATATACCTACGGGTCCTTATTAAGGGTCCCTCCTTTTGCCCTTGGAGTGTAGGTGCCGGGTCGGTCGCAGAAGGAAGACTATGACGGGGTAGTTCTCTACATTAGGGCCCCAAAACGACGGCACCAATACAAAAAGGACCCTAAACCGGACCGTAATTTAGAAAAGTACCCAAATGTTACCTGAGGCTCCAGGTGCCCAGACTCCGAGCCAAAAAAATCCTAGAACCCCTCAGGACGGGACGACCTCCCCCTTAAAACACACAAGTCTGTCAGAAGGTTGTCCCTACACCCTGCATTCCTACATCTCTGAAGCTCAGAATGAAAAACTCCGACAGCGAAGGCGACGACCCCACCTTGTCTGCGCTTCAGCCACAGCTGCGCTGTGAAGCTTTCGACCTGCTCACCAGAAGACGCCTTGCACTCACGACTTGAAATGGGGACATCTCGGATCCTGTTGTCTCAACATGAGTTGATGCTTCTCTGTATATGTACGTATCAATATACTCATACACTCAAATATGCACTTGTGTATGTATGTGTGTATGTATGTATGTACGTATGTATGTATGTATGTATGTATGTATGCAATGCATTGACTGTTAAACGATTCCCAGGAAAATCCTCAGTGCAAGCATAGACTTATGTTTGCTTGTGGAGACCTTCACATTCTCAAAGAGGAAAAGGAGGGAACCTTAGTGGGGACCCCTACCCTACAATGGGCTATATAATGGGTATATAATAGCTATGTTAAGGGTATATACCTCGGGGTCCTTGTTAAGGGTCCCTCCTTTTACCCATGGACATTCTGACTACTTGGGCCCGGGCCCTGCTTTTGGGGGTTGAGGGTTCGGGGTTTGCCAGCCGCTAGCTTTTCTAGCGAAGGTTTTCTAGGACCTAGAGTAGGCCCTTATTCCTTTTTTAGGGGTCAGATTCCCTTATAAGCCCCTTCTAACAAAAAGGGCACCCTTCTATTCCTAGGTTACTCTTGGGTCTAGTTCTGCATCAAGCAGGAGCATGATTCTGAACATGGTTCTGTGAGGCATTGCTTGTATTGGGATATTTGGGGGAGCGTATATTCACAGGATCTGCTTTGACAGTTGATGTGTGTACATACTAGTAATAGTGACAATCCTATTTCTGGCACCGAACTTTCAATTTGTGCAGCTTGTTCTAGCACAAACTAGCTCTTGTCTGACCTAGCACACAAACTAGCTTCGAACCGAGCTGGTAAACTCCCAGAGCTGTACTCAGATGTGAGCAACGTTGGACAAAATGTTGGCCGACAGCTCCAGACACAAACGCCCTTCCCGACCCTGAACCTACAAAGACAAACACATGTGCATATCCCATCATAAATAAAGCCAGCCTAAAGCCAAAACCCTAAAAGCCCTATCCGCCCTGAGCCTAAATTTCGTAATTACATCTTACCTGAGCACTGTACAACCCCACATAGTCCAGGTCCCATATACTCCGATTTCTGAATCGCGAGGCCTCTAAACCCTAAACACTATCAACTGCAATCCCTGAACCCTATGATCGCTAGGCCCCAAACCCTATATAAATCCGAAGTGCTGAACCGTATATAAACCTTATAAGCCTCAGAAACCCTATAAACCTTATATAAGCCCTAAACCCAAAAAACCCTAAACCCCTAAACCCTAAACCCTAAACCTATGCCCTAAACCCCATAAACCCAAAACCCCCATAAACCCTAAACCCTATGAGCCCTAAACCCCTAAACCCCAAAAAGCCCTAAAACCCCTAAACCCCTATAAGCCCTATAAGCCCTAAACCCTAAACCCTAAGCCCTAAACCCTAAGCCCTAAACAAATCATGCCAGGCCGTCAGACTGGGGAGCGATTGCCTCGGATTGCGCTTTCTGAAACTCGGGCTGGGTTTTAGGATTTGGGAACTTTCCTTTAAAGGGTTACTATAAGGGTATAAGGGTTCCTTTAAAGGTTGCTGCTAGAAGGGAACTATAGGGCTTTAGGGTTTGGGGTTTAGGGTGTATTTTTCAGGACTGAGGGTTTTTTGGCGTTTGGTTAAGGTTTTAGGTCTAGCACCAACAGAAGCATGCAAGGCCCCCCTAAACCCCAAGCCCTTAGCGCTTAACATTAAACAAACAGCTTCGACCATCCAGAAACCTCGGATCGACCAGAAGCTGCGTATCGAAACCCTAAGCCCTAAACCAGCGCTACTTCGGAGAAAGGGTGCACATCAACTTTAAAAGAAAACCATTCCTAAATCGGAAATCCCACAAACCCCACAATCATAAACCACCCACAAACCCCACAATCATAAACCACCCTATAGGCCCAAATTCCCACAGTAAGCCCAGAGAAGTGGCCCCGTTGATAGGCGGAAGGCGAATCTTCCGGCGATGTGGCCGTATATCTCTGGGTGCATGGCTCAGGTTCTGGATGAAAACTGCGGATTAGGGCTTGGGGGGGAGTAGGGTCTTACTAGTATTAGGGGTTCTCGGTCTTGCAGTGTCGAGCATAGGGTCTAGGGCCTTACACAAAGTTTTGGGTCTAGGGTCTTACTAGTGTATTTTTTCGTTTTGGAGAGCAGCATTGAGAACAGCATGTATTGTTAGTACAGTAGCAAGCAGATGACGGCTCAGCGCTGATGATATACTCGCAACTGCAGAGTCACGTGTTGTGTTTCCAGTGGAGGGCCGTCAGCAAACCCGAGGGACACCGAGCTGAGCAAGTGAGAGAGACAGACAGGCAAAAAGACCAACAGCGACAGACAGACCGACACAGACAGACACGAGCAGACAGAGACAGACAGGCAGCGGTCAGACAGTCGGAGTTGGTCAGATGAAGAGAGACAGAGACGTAGACAAAAAACAGGGAGAGAGATTGACAGAGACTGTGCCCTTACACCCCAGGTCTGAAACCGTACCCTGGATGTTTGCTTGAGGCATTTGGCATGAAAGAAGCTTTTCATCACAGACACGGCTAAGTGTCAATAGTACGGTTACGAGAATAACAGCGGTGATGACCTCATTGAGCCCTTAACCTAGCGCCGGAACCCGAACAGACTCTGAAACCCTCGGAAGTTTCAACTTAAAGCTTTGAAGCCCTACTTTATAAACCGGAGCAGTGCATGCGGTCATAAACCTTTGGTCCCTTGCCTTAAGCTGAGGCTTGCAAGGGCATGTCGACCTCTCAGAGGGTTGCGGCCTTTCCTTTGAAGTGTTCAGGATGTCTAAGGGTTTTTTTCGAGATTTGGGGGTTTCCGAAAATAGGAGACCTTGATATAGTACCCTAAATAGTATGATCCTCATTATAAGGACCCCCCAAAAAAGGTACCCCTAAGTTTCGGAAACTCCCATATGAGTCTAGTCTTAAGGTTCTGGTGCTTCTGGATCCTCTAGATTGCCTAGAATTGGGCCCCCCCCTTGCTTTTACTTTGGAAACAGCGAGCGCTGTACGTGTAAGCAGGGAGCCTGAATATAGCACGACTGGTGGTGCAGTGGCAGTGGCGATGACGGCCGTCGAACAGCGCAGCTGTAAACGTTGCTCTGAAACTTCTGAAACTCTCAACTCTAGTAGCGTCAGCCTTCATGATCCCACACTCAAAAGCCCGGAAACTATTGATCTTTATCGAGGAACCTGGTATACAAGCTCTACTGTGGAGGCCATTGAGTCGCTGCGTCGCCTGCTGTGACGCAACTCTCAAACGCTTGCGGAAACTGGTTAGTATGAGAGCCGCGAGCACCCAAGAACAATAGGAAGAAGTGCAACATTGGTTCCAACGGGTTATTGGGGAATTTAGAAGGGCGGCCGACATGTAGAGAATCGCCGAGCCTATGCGGAAGATGTAAGTAATTCAGCTTTTTGCAGAAAGAACTCTAGTAAGTAGTAAGTAGAATTTCGAAAACCTATGTGTATATTCTACTGTATATCTACCCACCCTAAACCCCTACATACCCGACCCTAGGTCTCTTTAACAGGTCGCCGGCAACCCCAAGTACGTAAATCCTGAAGCGCTGTGACGTCCTGATCTGCAAACCCCCAACACCTAGAACCCTAATGGGAGTTTCCGAAAACAGGGGGACCTTAATATAGTACCCTAAAGAGTAGGATCCTTACCAACATAAGGTACCTCCTGTTTTCGGAAACTCCCTAATCTGTGAGTCACGTGGGCGAACTCAACTCGCACTTGTAAACGGCCGACAAAGTCCTTACAAATCCTCGCAGGAACCATAAAGCACCCTTACAAGGGTCCTAAGGGTAAGAAGCCCCCATAGGTCAGAAAGGGTATGCCTTCAAGCTTCGCTTCTTACAGCCTCAGGGGTTTAGGGGGGAGATTTGCGTTTCGGGGTTTAGGGTTTAGGGTTGTCGTCAACTTCTGAATAAGAGGTTTACGGTTGATGGGTTTACTGGCTTAGGCTTCAGGGTTTACGGTTTTTGAGACTACATAGGGTTGTGCATTCACGTAGCCTGCCGGGGTCTTCAAAGCTAGGTTCCGGATGGGGGCTGCCTACCAAAAGGATCCTACTATTGATGGCCCATGCAAGGTCCGCATTCTCAAAGACCTCAGCCGATACAAATTCAAGAGGTCAATGGCAGAGCCAACTTCCCACATTATGCTGTCTTTGCTACTCCGTTCTCTTCCTGGCTTACACATAGACGGGCTGAATGCATGCATTACATGCAGAAAAGAAACAAACAAAGCGGCGCTTCACGGAGAGTTAGCTTATTCTAGCGATCTGCTAGGCAATAATGGAGAAGCCTGAATATACTTGTTAAGGCGCTGTATTATGCCAGACAGGTTATGTCCGGAGTCCTACACATGACTCACATGCTCTCCCCTGGTACTCAACCAAAACCATAAACCCCTAGAGCTTGGAAGCCCGTTAGCTTTATATAGGGATAGGGATACGACCCTGTCAGAGCAAACCGCTGCAATCCCTACATCACACTCTGCGGGCAGGAAAGTCGCAAACCTGCGAAAAGGTCTTCAATGGCAAGGTGTCCTTTGATCCCATGGATTCTCGGTTTGTAGGGTTCCTTAAAGGGATCTACAAAGGTTCTATAAGGGAATTAAGGAATATACCTTAAATCATATTCGGTTCCTGGTCCTGGGCTGGCTGATTAGGATTGGATGCCCACGGCAGATTTTAATTGATAGCAGCTAAAGGTAGTACTGCGACAACTCCCAGTGCTGGTGGTGCTAGTACTCTCACTATCACTTATGCTTTATAGTATGATTGCCTTCTGGGTGTGGGGTTTGGGTACGCCTGGCCCTTGAACCAATTAGTTCCCAAACCCCTTAAACCCCAAACCTGTTAGGGGCCACTCCTTAAATACTCTGAAGCTCTGGATATCTCTTTCGTCGTCAAAGCAGACTGGTAGCAGATTCAATTCGCAGACGGCAGTCAGTGATAAAGACCATTATCTAGCGGGCCGAGCGCTTCTAAG